ACAGCGCTGTTAACAAAATGATGTATGACATATGGAATATTGAGACTAAATTAAATGCAAGTTCATCTGCAGAGCAGGAAGCTTTCTTAGATTGTTTAACACTGGTTTATTTATGTATTTTGCATATGCTCTTTTAAAATGTAAAACATCCTCCTCACACAAAGTGCAGAATTTATTAAGAAAAAAAAAAGAGGGTACAATCAGTTGCAAAATCAGAATGAAAACATTAAGAATAATACCTAAAATGATATATTCCATTAGCTAATCTCTTTTGATAATTTGCATTTTTATTCTCTTGTGCTTTCACCAGCCTGGATAATGTGTGAAATTAGGTCATTACTGATGCAAACTGATTTTTTTTTGTTGATTTTTTTTAATTGTCTTTTCAGTAGCTGTAAAAAAAAAAAAAAAAATTAAAAAAAAAAAATTAAAAAGCAGCAGATGTTATTTTATCAGATTTTAGGAAACACATTTATTATTCATGGGCTGCTCATGTTATTTAAAATGACAATAAACTAATCAGGAGCCTTTAGTTATTGTGTTTGCCATTATGACTATAAAGTAGAAAACAAAAAGTGAGAAGGTAGAGCTCACTTTTTACCAAAAAGCCTCAGGCTTGCTTCAGGCGAGGGGTGACATCCTTTTAGGCTGATTAATAAAGCAATAGTTCCCATTTTTAAAGTGGGGCTCTGTGGACATGTTATGAACAAATAGTTTTAATAGATAGCTCTTTGAATCTATCCAATAGGCTAATGGCTAATCAAACAATAGCTGGTTTAAAAAAAAAAATCAATTCAGGCTAATAAAACAGCTATTTCTAAGAAATGACATGCTGGTATGATAATACTATATTAGCTAACATTTTCCCTCTAGTCTTGACACTGTTTATTTAGTTTGTCGCTATTATCTCATCTCAATAACAACCATAAAACTTAAAAACAATAAAAAGGGGCTAGCCGTTAGCTTAGCCTGGAAGACTTTGGCCCTTTCTCCTTATACCGTGCTCTAGGACTGAAGTCAAGACTGAAAAGGCGCTAACTATTCACCTTAACAGAGCAGTACTTCAAAATGACCAGACTATGGCAACAATTCACTTTTGTTCCGGACCAGTCGTTAGCTCGTCAATCTGGTTCAAACTAAAGTTTTTCCAAATCGAGGTCATTCAAAGAGCTATCTGCAACAGGTAAGATACTAACTGTTCATCAGAAAACCACAACAGTTCTCTTTAAAACTAAGCCTTGTGGGTCATTTTGACCCAATGGCAGCAGGAGGGTTATATTAATGTCTAGCTTACCATCCCCTGATGGTGGTGAGATGCATGATGGGAGAAGCTGTGACTGAAGTGCTGCAACAGGCCAAGATGAATGTTAACTGAACACATAAAAACATTATTATTGTGCTAAAGTATAAAAGATAAATACAATGAGACATAATTACTAGTAATTTTATAAACTGTGTGCCATCATGAGATAACTGTGTTACAGAATGCCCACGCATCATATTTTATTATTCGGAGTAATTATATGTTTTCCATGTTGTCACGAGCAGTTTATGAATTAACCACCAGGGGGAGAACAAATGCTGCAAAAACCTGCCACAGACAACACTTTCCTCCACTGATGATCACTTCTGACAGGGGAGCATTTCATCTTTTCCACTAGTTTCACTCAGTTTGTACCAAAAGCCACAAAGAAGGATGGATCAAGTGCGACTTTGTCTTTTCTTGATAAAGTAAAAAAAAAAAAAAACTCTAAATGGAGGAAAAACAGCAACTAATGTTTGTTTCCTCGTGGATCTTGGATTTATTCTCACAATCAGTAAACTCGAATATGTTTTTATTTTTTCTGAACAAGCAGTGAATGCCTCATCAATCTTCAACAGCCTGTGACCCTGAAAGGAATAAGTGATTACGGGAGAATGATAGATCCACGGACCATCTCTGCTTTCAGCTTCTGTTGCTCATCAATTCATCTCACTTCAGTAATAATAAAAACTCCTCAACATGCTCCTTTTCATCTTCAGTTTCAAGAGTTGCAGGGAGGTGAATAAAGCTTTTTGCTTCAGACTTCAGTCGACCTGCATGAATAGCACATTAGCCATATGCAATTTATTCAACTCTCAAAGGCTCGGTAGTCTGCAAAAAAATCCTTTTCACTCAATTTTATACCAATGATTAAAGGGATTCTGAGAGAGTGAAACGGCTTTTTGAAAACTCAGATTCTTGCAAAATACAAACATCCCTCTGTCATTTGGTCAATATTTAACTTTAAACACATTTTTAGGTGGTAAACACAAATTGCAAGAGCCACAGTTTGAAAATGAAAATGTTTTTTATGGCCTTCTCATGTTTCAACACATGGAGACAGTTAAACAGCCGCACTGCACCCAATGCTAGGGATAATAAGATGATAAAACCTTGTGCATTTTGCTGTTGTGCTTCTGTAACCGTGTCTCATCGAGCTCGACGTTTCGTGCATCTGCGAATTCAAAGAGACAAGGTGCAAAGAAAAGCGAGGCATGCAGATCCACGGTGAACTCTCTGCCACCTGCCAGCTCAGTTTGTTCTGTACGGCAGCTCCCACCCATTGATATCAGCACTTCGGGGCTTAAATAATTCAGCAGGAAATAAAGGTGCTACCTGTCTGATTCGGTGCAGATATTTTACTCCTGGCGTTTGATCATGATGAGGAACAGCAGGGGGATAAAAGGGGCATGCATTATTTGGAGAATGGTTAAAGCAACAGCACAGGCTAAAGTAAAGCTCATAATGAGCTGGATTTACAGAAAATGAGATGATCTTTTTTTGGTTACCTTTGAATAACATTTTGAAGTTGTTAAAAAGTTTCAGAATTGATGCATTAATAAGAAAAAGTTATGGCTCTGTGGAAATGGAAAACAGCATGGAATGAAGCACCAGCTGTTTAAATAAATCCTTATAATTAATATCTGCTTCATTTTTTCATGAATATGTTTTAATGTAATGCGTGTTGGAAAGAGCTCAGACGCATCTGAGGCAGAGCTCCTAAAAAATGTTTGACAACACGATCAGCTTTTGAGTTTTTTTTTTTATTAGCTTCATAATGTTTCTTTTTAGGAGGCTGCACAAAAATGAGAAATGGTCCAATCTGTTAGTTGTGGAACAAAAAAAAAATGTCCGTATCACTCAGTTCTCTCCAACAAACAGAGAATGCATTGGGGATAAAAGTGATTTTTGACATGAAGAAACAAACGGAGAAAAGCTTGTTTCTTTATGAAAATGGGAAAAAAGTAAAAATGTGAGCTTTATGAGCCGAATGCCTCAAATGCTGTGTGAGCTGAGCTGTAAGCTGGACACGATTTTTGAGAATCGCAGGCTACTTGCGGCTCCTGGATCTTCATGGCAGGAAGGAATTGACCTTAGAGAAGTTTGCAAGCTCGGCTCAGCGGGGTTGACCACAAATGTGGCTGTTTGGAGTCACCATTGAGACGTACCAGTGAGACTGTAAGGCAGACGGACATTAACGGAGTCAGCCTGACCCAAAACAACTGTTGTTATCTGAATCTGGCTCCCCCGTGTCGGCCTCGGAAGGCTGACTATCTCAAATTCTCCTGGTTGTTATGTGAATAAGATGCTCTGTTCCCCCCTACCCATTCCCTTCCCCGAGGACATCTGTGGACCTGTGTCAGAGCTCTACCGAGCCGCCTGATAAACATTGCACCATCACTTATCAGGACTATGACTGAGGGGGCTATCTGAGACAGTGTTCACAGACTTACTCCCCTCAAACTCACTGCCTTCGCTGGACTCCCTCCTTTTGCCCCCACGGTACAGTAACCTTATCTAACGAAAAAGGGCAGCACCTCCCATGAGGCTGCAGCCTCAGGCACCCATCTACCCATGTGTCTTTTTGTTTCTTTGGACGGGCTCTACTGAAATGTAATTTTGTTGCGCTTCTGTGCAAAGACAATAAATTCGGATTCTGAAATATGAGCATGAATCTCTTTTAGTCTAATGGTCCATAAGTAACACCAGTGATTTGGAGCAGCAATTGTGTTTTTTAAATAAATGAAGCGATAAAATAAACCAGCTGACGATGTTCTGCACTCGATCAGGTGCATTGTTGGGAGGATTATAAAAAGGCCTCATTTTGTGCTTTTTGAGTCAAGGTGTTAAAAAGAGCTCGGTTTATTTAACTATCGACACAATAACAAAATAAAATCCTGTGAAAAACAGAACAAAGAAAGTGTTGATTTTGAACTTTCTAAAATTATGATTTAAAGCATGTATACACATCTAACCTGCTTTAATTTCACCTCTAATCGGACACATTTGCAGAAAAGACCTTTGAATGTTGTTGGTTTTACAGAATAAAAATAAACCTTTGAGCAGGACAGGAACAGAAAATGTGAATTATTCCCTTCATGAACGTTCAACCTTAGCAACATGCTTTTATGAACATCTTGAATTCTAGATTCTTTTTATAATCTACGTTGTTTTTTTTTTGGCATTTTTGGTCTTCTCACCTGTGACTTTAAACAGAATTGCACCTTTTCATTAATTTTGATTAAAAAAAGGATGTTTTCTGATGTTGGTAAGATATTTGGACAAAAGTGTGACATGAACACTGCATTTGTGACTTCACCTACCACCTGAGGTTTTGTTTTTTCTTGACAGACACACGTCAAAGTAAAAATGTTTGAATTTAGGAATTTTTTTTTTAAATGAATCCACCTCTGTCTCATTATTCTCTATTGCTTTTAGATAATTTAATACATTTAAACCACAAATAAAAAGTTCATTTTATTCATTTGATTTGCTTGTTTTTATGACTTAAACCTGATTGTTGAATTCAATTAATACAAACCGTGGCAGCTGCTTTTTTGTAAAGTTTTGCTCGATGAAATTTAGAAGAATTATAGAAAAATAAAGTAGGTTTGACAATCCTCAAAGATTGACAATGCAAATCAGTGCTCAAAATAACAATTTCCTGACAGTTTCTGGAAATCAAACCACTTTAACGTTTATTCAACCAATGTAAGGACATTAAAGATGCTTTTAAAAATAAATAAGAACTTGGTATCAGTCCAGTGCAGTTAATATAGTTCTTGTTTTTTAACTGTCAGCTGGTTCAGAAATCTTTGTGAGATAAGGCCTCAACGGACTCCTCAGACTGTTGTGACTCTCATCACCAGCTCTCTTGTGCTATTGCTGGGTTGGCTGCGGGTCTCCGGCTGCCTCAGGTGGCTGAGCAGGTGGAGGATGTTGTAGGGACAGTGTTGGTCTGGCACCGCGGTGCCGCTCTCGGGGTCCAGGTGCGGTCCGAATCCCCCTGCGGCCGTCACCACAGTCGTAGACGTGGAGCCGGCGGCTGTGGAGGCCACGACCATAAGCGAGGAGGTGGAGGTGGACACTCCGATCCCCGTGTGGTAGCTCTGACTGGGCTGAGACAGAGTCCTGTCCACAGTGGCCTCCTTCAGGTCGTCACTGTCCATAGATTTATCGTAGTTCAGAACCTTCCATTGCTGGTTCACGGCCTGCCAGCGGTGGAAGATGCGAAACACCGACGGTCCCTCGTGGACAATTAATGCTGTGGAGATCAGAGTGTCACAAAGACAAAAGTCACTGTCTGGCTGCGAGCTTAATGACACCACAGAGTGATATCTCTGCAGCTCGCAGCAGTAAAGCCTGCACAAAGCATTAACTGGCACAGAACAGAACAAAGCAACTCATTTTTCACGTACTTCTCCGCAGCACAGAGATAAAATCTTTATTTCTGAGATAAAGTGAAGTTGTGGAACAACCTATGGGACAAACACCATTTCTGGATTTCGGTCGGCAGAAACGATGCATCTGTTCTTTGCAGCTGCTCGATAACATCTTATCTCGGTCTAAAATTGCTTATTGATTCATGTTTACTGAACTCAGTATCTGGAAAATTGAAGTTAATCTGCACCAGCAGTTGTCTGCATGGACCAAGGGGGTTTACAGCATGTTTTTCATAGTGGAGTTGTGCAAAAATAGAGCATGCATAATTTGATTCCAGTAATTGGAAACACTTTAATTTGCCCTACAACAAGATACTTACAACCGGTTATAAATAATAATAGAACACATTATTTAAAAGTATCTTCATAGATATTATAAATAAATGGCCCATGTTTGAAGGAATGCATATGTTAGCACTGGTGAATGTATTGAGGGTGACTCTCAGTTGCTACCACACCAAACTTTAGCTTTATATTTGTAAATTTAACCGAAGTACAGCCATTTGTGCGTTTCTTAAAGTTAGTTGGCTGTAGCGGCCATCTTGAATGGGGTTAACTCAGAGTGAATCAGCTGCAGACATACATCCAATGGTTAGGATCTGAGTTTCATTAAAATCCCTTCTCTGGTTCATGAGCTATTGTGCTAACAGACAGACTAAGCTGACTTTAGTGGTAAATGGCAAAGTCTTAAGAACAGATCTCATGTGATCAATTAGCTTTTAAAGTATAAGTTGGGGATGACTCTCAGCTACTACCACACCAAAAATGAGCTCAATATCTTTAAATTTCACGGAGCTACGGCTTGGCTATGACAACAATCTTGATTTGGATTGATGTAACTACTGATTACTTTCTGAGAGTTTCCTTAAAATCGATTCAATGGTTTATGAGATATTTTGTTAATACTTCAGACAAACTAAATATGAATGTGTTTAAAAATATTTTAAAGGCATATATATTACATCTAATGGGAAGTAATAAAGTGTTACTACAGGGGATAAAAGCTATAGGGTTTAATATAAATCATAAAGTAGCATATTTCCTTACAGCTACAGGGGAACACTGTCCTTAGATATGAGTTGTTGCTTTTAAATCCTTGTCTCTGCTCCTCAGCTCTGCTCCTTTCTCCCTCTAACTTTGTGGGATAATCAGGTCTTTGCTCCGCAGCATCTACAATGTGACAAGTTAATCTCTGTAAAGTGCCAAGTTAATGACTGCGCAGTCAGTCCTCGGCACCAAACCGGAAACAATCAATCTCCTCCTCCTCTCACCATGATGTCTGCTGCACAGGAATTTACAGTTTTCTTAATCTGACGTGAGAAAACAAAACCTGAAGAGCTCCAGGCACAGGAGGAGGACCATCCAGCGAATCGCATTCCTTCAAGAAACATGAGGCCTTTAACTCCCTCAGACGTTATGAGCTTTGAAGTTTTACCAGAATTTCAGGTTGAAGCTTTTAACTTCATTTGGTGCAAAGCGGGAGTTTCCCGTATCAATTATTCATGTTTAATTTATAACATTTGCGATTTATCATCTTTAATGCAGTCACGGGGATATGGAGGAGGATAAGTTAGATAAAAAAATCAATTACTAACCACAGTAGCTTCCAAAGTGTCCGTACTGATCTGAAGCAGCTGACTGTGCTGAACAGATTAACAATATTGATTCTCAATAAAGTTATTGGTTCAATGCATTCACAAATATTTCTCTACAGCCGTCAGGTAAAATGACAGACTCTGCTGAATACTTATGACATTTACTTTTGCCCGCTGAAGCACCTGGATTAGTGTGAGCGGGTGAGAACCGCTCAATATTTCTCACTCATTAGCTGCAGAGGAAGAAGCATAAACATCAAGTCAAATTGAAAGAAGTAGCACATTAGCGTTCGGCTCTCACCGATGCACACGACGTCCATGAAGCCGTACATGCCGTAGCATATCTGGAAAAGCAGGTCTTGGCGTTGCCAGCGAGCCGACGGGCTAAAAGACGACCAGACCAGCCAAGAGATGCTGGCCATGAGGAACAGGGAGCCCAGGATGGCTGCTGCAATCTGCACTTTCTCTATCACAGTCAGGGAGATGGCCTGCCACTGCAAGAAGACATGTCACAGCTTTTAGGTCTAACCGTGGTCGCTTTTATTACCTCTGACCTAAAGTCATGTGCCATGTAACCGTTGTCTCGAAAAGTCATTCTGTTCTGATGAATGTTTATCGTGGTGAACACGTTTACGCTCTAATCTCTAATCAAGAGAGAGAATGTTAACCTTCTTATAAGTCTTATAAAAATATGCTCCAGAAAACTTGCTCTGTTTTGATTTTTTAAATATTGATAGTTTTAGCATTTAGCTAGTTTTTTGCAGGCTTTAACTAGTATTTCTGCACATTTATTTAAGCTAGCATTTAGCTACTTTTAGGTGTTTGTGAGCTTTATGTTATTTTTAGCTTCTAACTAGCCTGTTGATACTTTTTGTTAGGGAATTTTGGTCAAGGTTTATGGATGTTTTTAACTACTATGGCTGAGATGTTAACTGCCCATGAACCATGTGTTTGAGTTAGCAGAGAGCTGGATGAGGAGCTGATTTGATACTGCAGATCCAGCTGGCAGTCCGAGGTCACCTCTGAGTCTGTCTGTGAGCTTGGAGGAGCTGATAAGCATATAAAAACAAGCCTCGCACACTGCCCGTGGCAGATTCTCGTGACTGGGATCCATGCGTGTAAACTTTTTTATATCTGTTGTGAAAATCTGTCCTTGCAAGTAAAACCGGTTAAAAATCTTCTTCTGTCATCGAGTGTGGCTTCTTTGAATAAGTAAGATGAATGGAGGATATTTTTATTCAAGACTATTAGCTACCAGTAGTTTCCTTTTTGATACTTTTAGCTGGCATATTTTTACTTTTTGCATTTAGTTAGCTTTTTGTGACTTACAGTTTCTAACTAGCCTTTTGATACTTTCTCCTTTAGCCAGTTTTTTAAAAAAGACTTTTAGCTATTAGTTAAGCTCTTGGTCACCTTTAGCTTGCCTTTTTCTATTTTTAGCTTTTAGCTAGCCTTTGGTATTTTTAACTTTTAGTCTTTTGTTACTTTTATCGTCTTTTTTTTAGCTAGCCTTTTGTTACTTTTAACTTCTTGCAAGCCTTTTGCCACTTTTAGCTATCCTTCTGCTACTTTATCTTTTAGCAAGCCTTTTGCTACTTTTAGATAGCCTCTTGCTACTTTTTGCTTTTAGCTAGCCTTGTACTGCTTTTTGCTAGCATTTTACTATTTGTAGCTCTTAGTTAGCATTCTGCTACTTTTGGCTTTTAAGTAACATTTTGCTTCTTTTAGCATTTAGTTAGCACTTAGCATTTTTAGCTGTTACCCGTTTCTTTCTGCTTTATCAATTTCAGCTTCTTCAACAAATGTCAGCAAAGTAATTCAGCACTCAGCATTCACACTGCATTTTCACAGAAAATATAAAATTGTTAGCTTATGTTGTAACTTTGCTGACCCCCCCCCCCCCCCCCCCAACTAAAACAAAACTCAAAATGGCAAAGACAATATCTCTGAATAAAACCATTAGTTTGAAGGAATGAATGGGAGTATTAGTGTGCTAAGTTAATTAGGCTGATTGTCAGATTTATTTCATAATCAGATTTAAAAAAAATAACAGAACTGAAAAGCAGAATTTCAAAGGTCCTGAAAGATTCCCCTCACAAATCCTTCTGTCATACCACCCAAGGCAAAAACTGAGAGAAAACTGCAATCTTTCTCTTTAAAGGATCAAAGAGAAACATCTTGTTTAATCAAAAAGCTCAATTTTTTTTACTCGGTTTGTGATCAAAGCAAAACTAGAGCTGCATCTGTGTGACTCCTGAAAAATGTGTTTTTGGTATTTCTGCATGTTGCACATAAATGTTGATATAAAGATCAAAAATAAAATAAACTAAATGAAATATACACGTAAACATACAGTATTTACTTGTTAGGGCTTTGCTTTTCTCTTCCATCAATTCTAGACTTGAATTCTCACAAAGAAAGATTTGATCTGAAAACGTTTCTGCAGCGGTGCTCTTTGCTCCTGAAACTCACCTGTAACGGGTTCTTGGTGCTGATGGCAATGACCTGATATTTGTAGTAGCAGAGCTCGCAGGCCCAGGAACCTCTCTCGCTGATCCACTTGATGAGGCATGGCTGGTGGGTGCAGCGAACCGACCCGCTGCAGCGACACGGGCTCAGCAGCTCCCCCTGAAGAAGAAACACAGATTCAATCAGAACCTGATGTTTGTATTCAGCTCGTGAACACTGTGTTATATTTACCGCCTGCTGCTAAAAGGGACAGTCAAATGGTTATAATCAGTCAATTTTATAAATGTTGAACTAAAATTTGATTTGGTAGTATATATAATGTACCCTCCTATAGTTCCCACATGGATGCAAAATACACTATACATCCTTCTTGCATTGAAATTGTTTTTTAAAGGGCATCATATGAACAAACACACACACAAACATGGAGCGCGCCGCACCGCGCAGCAGCCTTCCAGCACACCATTCAGTCAGGTGTGAAATGAAAGCTTTTCCTTACACCTAGTTGACAGGCAAAGTACTTGATTACCAGCACCATTGAATGCGCAGGATTAGACTCTGAAGCTTCAGTGAAAGAACAAACTGTAACTAAGCTGCAAAATACTGCGCTGAACTTCTAAACGGCAGCTCGATAAAGGAACTTAAAACATCTAAAAGATGAGGAGAATGTCACATCAAATCTGATAAACCCACAGTCCCTGTCATGAACGTAGATAGTACCCCTCTGCCATGGATCGCTTAAGCCGTGAATTATGAAATTCATTAAATTTCACTAAATTTCATAGATCTTTATCAGATTAAATCATCCATGGGATGTACCAGATCAAGCTCAAAATATGGACCTAAAAGACAAAAGTTCCAAAACTCGACACCACTGAACCCTCAGAGACAAAACCTTGATGGGTCAGAGGGATTTTGGAAAGCACAAGACAGCTAGATTTAAAATAGTAGTGCAAATACAAAGAGTGGAAGAAAACATCCTAATATTTGGGAAAATTGGCATAATCCACAGGATTTTACACAATTTCTTTAATAACTGATGTGTTTTCTTTTGATCTTAGATTAGCCAAAGTGAAAAAGGAAGTGACACCATAGGGCAACTCCCTGGTCTTTGTGACTCAAAGTAATCTAAAGAAACATCCAGTTCTTCTCTACAGTCTGCGTTGTTAGCCATTATACCATTGTTTACATGCAGGTGTCCCCCTTTGACATCACTTCCTGTTACTTCAAATGCAAATATCTCAACAACTGTTCATCTCAGTGGCATGAAATCTTTTCTTTGCAATATGTCTCTTAACGCTAGCTTTTCAATAATGTATCTACATTTATCATGAAATTTTAATGTCACAGACACTTTAATGTTGTGACTAATTTGTGCAACTTTTGACCAAATATACACATAAAACAAATCACCCCCTTTTCTTCAGTTTGTATTTGCTAAACACAGATTTTTTCTTTGAGACGTTGTTTACTTTGTGCTCAACCGTCCTGCATCTATAATTTTTAATAGGCAGTTTAAAAAATGACACATTTTAATAAGTTTTGAATAAAAAATTGGGGTTTTAATCTTATGGAGACATTTTTGAACTCACTGTCATGATGTTTTATTTGTAACACTACCTACTGACAATCACATCCTGGTTGACTGAGCTCACCAAACAGCAGAGCAATGCATGTGCTTTCTGTTTAAATATAGTATCATAAACTGGGAATATTTGAAATGAGGTTTTGTGAAAAGGTTGTGAAATAAATACCTTACCTGTTGTAGATAACTCTTTAAATGGCCTCAATTAGGAGATAGAGAGTTTAATAGTGGATAAACTGACGAGAATTCAGTGTAAATAACTGTTTAATGTGTAATTGATGACAGGAAGTTTGAGTTTTTCATCATAATTTACCATTTATTATACAAAGACATGATAAAAATTCAAACAAAAAGGAATGTGTGAAATAATATAAAGATTACATTACATTGCATCCACAAAAGATAGTGAGTGGGAAGGATGGTGGTACTGGAGTCCTGTCAAAATTAAACATTACTTCCCCAAACGGAGGTCATTCAAAGAGCTATACGACAGGTGAGATGTAATTTCTTCATAACCTTAGAAAACCCCACTTCAGAAGATCTGAACTATTCCTTTAGCACAGTGGCTAAAATAACTTCAGTTCACTCCCTGAATGCAGATGAAGTAATTGTTCATTTTAGCTCATTAAAATGATTTTTTGTGCTCTTTAAGGTTTTTGTTATAATGATGAGAGTGCAAAGACATTAATTAAAGGTTTTGATTCATTTATTCATCATATGAAACACTCAAATCATTTCAAATGAAGTGCAACAGTGGAGTTAATTTAATTTTCCATCCCACATTTTTCACAGAAACACTTTGGATGATCAGCTTTAAGCATTCCCCTTTAAGCATTCATATTACGCCCTAATTTGTCTGAACAGAAGAGAATTTTGTAATTTTTCACCCTGCACTCCGAGCTCTTTTAAATATATCACTAATCTTGATATAGATGATGTACGTCTACCACCTGTTTTACTCCTGACCTGCGCTTAAAAAACTTGGCTCAATAAAATCATAGCAGGACCTTCTCGTGTGGGTGTTTTAATCTTAATGTGACTGAGGAAAAAAAGGTAAATATAAATTAGCCAACCCTGTCTAGGTGTAAGAAATCTCTTCTCTCTCCTGCAAGCCGAGGCTTTAAATGTGAAGGTCAGTTCTCTCACCCTTTCCTTAGTAAGCATGGCGATTGAAATAGAAACGTGAGAAGGAGAGAGGAAAAAAAAAGCAGCAAGTTTAGAAAATATTCCTCCGTCATTGTGCTGACACCTCTGACAGATGGAGCAGCGCCCTGTTTGAGGAGAAGAGAGGGAAAATTCGGGGAGTTGCAGGAGAAGAGGCTCGTCTACAGATGGCCGGGGTGGGAGTGTATTGGCAGCAGGACCAGAACACTTCTGTCATGTCCAGTGGGACTCAGGACGCTCACAGCGACTGGCCTGATCGCAGCCAAGAGCTGAGACTTGGACCACTCCAGTACAACTGAGGCTGAAGGAAGCAAGGGAGGCCGATAACAAACGTGGCACCCCGGCCCACGCATTTAAAAAAAAACGTGGTGGCTAAATGTCTTTTTGCTGATCAAATTGTCCACTCAGAGAAAAACAATGCAATGCATTGAGACAAGGGGAATTGCTTTGGCTGCATTATCCCAAAACAACTCAGTGCATCTAATTTGCTCCTTATAAAATTGGATCCTTACCAATGTATATATAATGACATGAAAATAAATTAGGATTGCCTCTGCACATAAGAGCCTGGAATCAATGCCAGTGAACTCTATTAACTCTAACTGAGGGAAATTTTAGTGATGCAAACTGTCCAACACAGAAACGAAGTGTTTTTTTAAGTGACCACTCTCTGATAATAAACATTTCTTCCATGAGAACAGTTTTGTTTGTGGGTTTTCACAGTCTTCAAGAAGTGAGGAAGAAACGGTGTCCAGAAGAGAAAGTTCCTAATAGAGGATCATATAATTTCTAATATTTTACCCATAATGACCCATAATGAGGCTTTTATAAGGACCATTAGGCCAGCAGTGCATTAATGGAAATGAGTTCCTCCTATAATTTTATGAATTCACAGCTTCTATCTCGTCACAAAGCGCAAAAATGTAACTTGTTTATCTTTCAAGACCAACAAACGGCAGAGCAGCCATCCTGAATGATATCAAATACAGAAAACTGCTAGACCAGTTGTGTCAAATTAAGGCCCACAGGCCAGACTCGGCCCTATTTACAGTGTTTTAGCACTTGTTTTAAACGCTTGAGAGATGGCCTATGATTTTGCTTCAAAACTAAGGAAAGTTAGTGGAAACTTCACATCGCAACAGCCAATTTTTAGGTCAAATAAATTAAGTTTAAATTTATCTGTAATTTGGAGTAACTAAACAGGACCAGTCAAACCACTGAAGCCAAGAAAATATGTAACATATTTGGCTTGTGTTAATGTGCATCAGACCAGTCTGCCTAATTTTATTTCATTTATTTTTCACTGTGTTCATTTGTATTTCTAAAGAATATTAATAAAGGCATTTTCAGATTTTCAATAAGAATTTTTTGCTGATTTGATGGATTCGATTAGAATGTTTTACCATGGAATAAAAGAAAACATCTGATCAAGAGCAAGTGATATTGACGTGTCCTTTTGAATTTGACGTTTTTGGGTTCCTGTTTAATTTAAATTACATGCCTTCTGAAAAACATAACTCATATTTCTACATAAATAATTGTAAAAATGAGGCCAAGTTATATTTTTACTCAATAAACATTGACTGAGGTGCCATTGGATTAGGACCATGTTTTTTTTTTTTTTTGTCTCTGTTTAGACTGAGTTTGAAACAACTGCTTTAAATGCTGATTTGACCTCTAAAGTCTTCTCTTTGTGCTCAGAAAACAAATAAAAAATAAACCAATAAACCTGTGTTTTGGCCTGTTATGATTTTGGAGTGGAAGCTTTGTCATCAAAGCTGAAATAAATCATACAGGTTTAACACACACACTAAAAAATGTTGGGTTATTTTAATAACTCGGTTACTGGGTTGAAGCTGTTGGGTCACAGGTTGGGTTGGTTGGATCAAATGGATCAAAAATTGGTCCGGTTGGAGTCATTTGTCACAGTCCATCATTTTAAGCCAAAAGTTGACCAAATCAGACCAGAATGGACCTCTGCTTTAGAATGTAATAAAGGTAAAAGTGTAAAATAAGAAGACATTTACCTGGTTGGCTTGAACTAGACATTGAGTTTGCTTCATCAAAATAACATTAGTTGGTGCTAGTTAGTTTATGCTAGTAGTGTAACTGGTTGCACTACTTTCACAAATCAGCCATTTTAACCCCATTTTTGTGTAGAAAACCTGGCCCAGTCCATCTAATAAGCCAAATCTGCTG